CTCCCGAGGGGTCCCAGACTGTGAGAGGGCACAGGCCTGGCTGAGGGTACCTCCCCCACCCCCCGAGTGCACAAATTTTTGTGCACTGGGCCTCTAGTCTATATATATAAAAACCTAAGCAACCCGTCAACTGGTCGCTGTGACGTGCACTGCCCCCCAGGGGGCAGACACTCAATGCAGGAGCTGCCCCCTGGTGGTCAAGGGGCTCCCACAGTGGGAGTTCTGCTCCGCTCAGCCAGAAGCTGGGCTCACCGCTGGTGAGTTGCAGGTGTGGCAGCGGCAGTAGGAGCAGTGGGGCCGGGATGAGCGGCAGCGGAGCTGTGCCCGGCCCCGGCTGTGGTTCCTCCCCAGCTGCCTGCTGCTTCAGCACTGCCACATCGTTCAGGGTCCTGGATTGCGAGAGGGCGCAGGCCAGGCTGAGGGACCCCACCCATGCACAAATCCGTGCCCCACGACAGTAGTCTATCATAATGGTGATTACAAACCAGTGATTTTCATAATTCTGTTATTCTTCCTACATTTATTGGTTGGCATTCATCTTTAAAGAGTTCCACCTCCCCCTTATCCCTTTTCATTGGTGTCATTGTAGACTCATGGATTCATTTTTTAAATCTAATGTGTTATGCATCACTCTCATAATTCCTGTTCATGCTCAGTTTATGCCAAATTCAGCCATGGGAACCCTCAAGTGTTATCAAGAAAGTGTTATCTGAAGACTTTCTTCTAATCACATATCTGTGGAAAATAGGTTTGACTTAAAAATGTCCTTTTGGATAATATTTCTTTAGTCCATAGGGCCTTTTTTTCTTAGTTACACTGTATAGCGTGCTTTCACAGAGCCTGATAAGATCACGCCATTCAGTTGTCACCAGAATTACTTGAATGGCTGTTTCCCTGTTACTTCTAGGTGGTTTTAGTTTCCCCTTCCTCTAGAGTAGAAGCTTACGTTAGATTTCTTCCACTTGGAATTATTTCCTGTCCTTGGGGTCTAGGGACATGGTGGTGGACAGAGACATGTTAAAGTATGTTTTGTCTTGTCACAGTTTAGGTGTTGAGTCTGTACTGTATATAATGCTTTCGCTAACAAAGGACTCAACAGAAAAGCAAATGCAATTGATGGTACTCCTTCCATAGAAATTGGTGGAAGGAGCGTTGGCAGTGTGACTAAGCCTTGCTAAAATGCCTGGGAGGAGGAGTCCCTGGGACTGATTTTAGAGGGATTATTTTTTTCTTGAACATTTAACTTATTTTTCTTAAAAAGGTTTGCTATACTTCTTGTCTCTGTATGTAGAGAATTCTGTGCAACACATGACTATTACGGCTTACTTTAAAAATCTCTTGGCTATTAGCTTTGGGGTAGGATCTAGTTAGGGCCAATTAAGCAATCAGAACCCATTATAGATTCTCAAGTCTTGGTGCTTTAATGAGGGCCTTTATGCCATCATGAGAAGTGGGGTCTGGAGGCATTTGCTGGAAAGATTAGATAATTAGAGCTCTGTGAAATTGTTGTATGTCTTCACTGCTTTGTCTTTTATTGTGTCATCATGCTTTGAGATGAACGAGGTTCCCGCCCACCCCCTTATTATAGGTATAGAAAGCGTAGATACCTAGTCTTCCCTCTGCTAGGGTTTAATATTACAAACCGGGGGGCTCAACAGAAAAGTGGGGGCAGATAGAGAATGCAGACAAGGGTGGAGGTCCTGCTGCTTTCTGTTGCTGTCCATGGGAAAGAACAGTGCTTTAAAAAGATTTAAGCTTATGCTGACACCAGTATGTGAAAGAAGGGGCAAGGCAGGCCAGGTGGGTGGGAAAGGATAAACTGGTGACTAACAGCTGGTGCTTGCACAGTGGGATAGCCATGTGCAAAATTATGTGACTGTCCTCACCTCAGACCATTCATAAAATCCATTCCTGTCAGATCAATCTAAATATTAAAAGCAAAGTCTGTACCTAATACTATGTTTTAATTTAATGATGATCTTAATACTTTGATGAAGAATATCACCACTGCTTCTTGAATAGTAAAAATAATTCTTTCAAGAATACCATTTTATATGTAACTTCTCCACTTAACACCATTTAAGTAACAGTTAACTTTATACATTATCTGGGGAAGGTTATTTTTTTTCTCTTAAAGAAAGCATATCCATCTATAGAATAATTGGCCTGTTAGCCTGAACAAAAGGCGAGTTATCGCGGCATTGAGGAGTCTAAGTTTCAGCCTCCCAGTAGAGGGCCCAGGGAAGGAAATGGTCCCTACGTTTTCTAGGAGACAAGTAATTTGGCTGAAGAGCTTTCTGCTCTTCTGCATAAAGGCCGACAGCCAGTTATCAGTAATTGTGTATATGAGATATCCCAATGTAAGAGCAATGAACCCATTTTCAGGCCCAAAGAACCCAGTTAGACAAGAAAAGCAGCAGTTTCAACCGCTGTTTTAAATACCTCCAGGCCTTTAGCAAAACAGGCTTGTTAGTAGGAAGGGATAGATCACAGCAAAAACAAGACTCAGACTTAATTTTCTATACTACTACAATGAAAAATTCTAAATGTTTATCATCATTTTAACATTAAGATGTATGAATTTGCTGAAGAATATCACTGCTGCTTCTGGAATAGTAAAAATCTTGCAAGAACACCATTTTATATGTAACTTCTCCAAGTATGTTTTATATAGTCAGTTGCTTGTATTTAAAGTTATTTAATATGATTTTCTGTTTTCTAATAGCCTAGTTGGTTGAGGGACTAATTATCCATGAGCAAGATCAAGCATTTCCTCAGAAAACAGTCTGGGACCACTCTAACATGTGGGTGAATATTCCAGGATTCCAAAGCCTTATGCTAAAGAATATAACTACAGTAATTTTAGCTTGTAAATTTAAGAGAAATAATTAATTTCTCATCCCTGCTATTGCAAATCTCAGTTATGTATGCATACAACTGGTAATGTTAAATATTAGAATTTCTAATTCTTTACACACTTTCCAGAAATGATCTGTGTCAGCAAAAATGGAGTTAAAGTCAAATTTGTACATTTTTAGTGTGGATTGTTTGTACGTTACAATACTTTAATGTGTTACTAGTTTTGTCTTCTGTTATCTTCCATTTTTACATTACTTTAGCTGTCAGTTCCAAAAAGATTGTTTTACGTCATAATTACAGATGGGATCTTTATTTTATAAGTTTGTTATTTTATTTAATAACAATACAGTCACATGTAATTAGTTCTGTTCTTTAGGTACTGGTAGGTTATAAAGGTACAAGAGGGTTGAAATAGGCCTGGTGCTATTGACTGCTGCTCTGTGTTAGAAGTAGTGGGGCCTAACATAGCCGAGGCCAGTGGTTGGTAAACTGCGGCTTGCGAGCCACATGTGGCTCTTTGGCCCCTTGAGTGTGGCTCTTCCTAAGCCTTAGGAGTACCCTAATTAAGTTAATAACAATGTACCTAAACTAAAACATATAGTTTAAGTTTAAAAAATTTGGCTCTCAAAAGAAATTTCAATCATTGTACTGTTGATATTTGGCTCTGTTGACTAATGAGTTTGGTGACCACTGGCCTAGGCCAATAACTGGGGCTTAGGGAGTCTTCCCTTCCAAGATGCAGTCTGGAGTTTGACTTGTATGTTTTAGACCACCTCAGAAATTTCCCTACTCACTGATTACTTGGTAAAGGGGACTGAAGGTATGTATGTCAGTGATAAAAGTTAGGTGAAGAAAACTTCTTGTGGTCACATGGGTGAATATTGGATATAATATTGAAATATTTATGGGTGAATTTCTGTCTGTGTTTCCTTCAAAATGATTCATTAGTTAGTGAAAGGGGGCGTGGGCAAGGGTTTTTAGATGAAATAATGTTGGATGGATAATTGTTGCAGCTGGGAGATGGGTACATGGGGAACTTCTGTGTATTCTCTCTACTTTTATGTGTGTTTCTGATTTTTTTAAAAATAAAAAAGCTTTAAAAATTGATGCTCCCCTTCTCAATTGGGGAGGTTCCTTGAGAGAATTAAGCCCTAATGCGCTAATGCATTCAGTGTGAATAATGAATTAACTTCTCTTGTGTGCATCTAGAATGGTTTTAATTATATACCACTCTTGGGAGACTTGAGAAAGTAAGTAGTTGTGTGTGTGTGTTTTAATATTTTATGGTTCCTAGTGAGGAATGTTGGCCAAGAAAGGCTGGTTGAGGGTATAGAACTGTATGATTGATTCAACATTGTACTCTTTTGTAATTTGATGTTTCTTTGCCTTTTAAATAGAAGTTTTGTACTTCAGTTTTTGAACATGGTCAAAATGCCATGTTGTTAATATATTAACTTTACTAAAACTGTTTGAAAATGTGGTTTTCTTTTCTATTAGATATGGTCCGAAAGTACAGCCCGTTGAGAGGATGCACCTAGCTGTGGTTGCCTGTGGTGAACGACTGGAAGAAACTATAACCATGTTGAAGTCAGCGATCATTTTCAGCATCAAACCTCTTCAATTCCATATTTTTGCTGAAGATCAACTACACGATAGTTTCAAAGGCATAGTAAGTATTTGAGACTTAAGTCTGTGGAGTTAAATATTTACTGATGTATTGCTTGGTGGGGAGCCTTTTTTTCTTCCCAGGCCCATTTGGATATTTAAAACATTATTCGTGGGCTGTGCAAAATTATTACCTTTAAAATTAGCCTGCTGTATTTGGTCAGACATTTAATTAACTCACTCCTAATGCCTTGGCAGGGCCAGACCAATGATTTCGTGGGATTTATATGGACCGAAGGCCGGATGTTCCCCACCCCTGCTTTAAAGCAGCCACCATTTCTCACGTTGAGATTGCACGTCCCTACGTTGCGGGTTTAATCCCTGCTTGGGGCATGTAAAGGGAGCAACAGATTGATGTTTCTGTCTCGCTCCATTCGTCTCTTTAAAACCAATTAAACATATCTTTGGGTGAGGATTTTTAAAAAAATTACTTGAACATAGTCATCATTCAAAAAGAGAACATTTTTAGCTTGTTACATAAACTACTTAGTATCCCCTCCTTATAAATTGTGAATGTAGGAAATTTGAGTCAACAGTTCTTTTGAAGCAACAATGACAGGTAATACTTACCGTATTTGCCGGCGTATAAGACGACTGGGCGTATAAGACGACCCCCTAACATTTCCACTCAAAATACAGAGTTTGTTATATACTCGCCGTATAAGACTACCCCCTCTTCCGCACACCTTCCACACACCAAATAAAAGGTAAAACAATATCAGATTTGATTTTAACATTTTAATCACCTTAAAAGCCTTCAAACTCCTCTTCATCATCTGATATTAAAAGTTCATCAACGACATCTTGGTGCCATGATAGGGATGATAGGGGTTTGACTGGTCGACATTTTCTATGCTGTACTGTACAATGGGGCAGTATTGTGGTTGGCTGTTGGCTGTATACAAAGCCTGATTTGATTGGTCCCTGCTCCCTGTTTGCCCGCCCTGTCACTATAGCAGTCTGGTCCACCCTTGCATCAGCATCTCCCTGGGACCTCACTAGTGCGCAAGTGCGAGCTCTTCAACATTCTAACAGGCACCATGATAGCGCAAAATCGCGAATCTTCAATGCATATGTAAAGAAATATACGGTAACCCGAATTTACCACACTCGCAAAATCGCACACAGCCAACCATACACCCAGTATGGTATCGCGATTCGTGATTTTGCGCTATCATACTGGGTGTATGGTCGGCTGTGTGCGATTTTGCGAGTGTGGTAAAATCGCATAACAGCAAAATCGCATAACAGCCGAGCGTACACCCAGCAGCGCTGCTGATGCCTGAACGGTATGTGGAATGAAGTGGGCGGGCATCGGGAGGCCACTATGGCACGGGGCAAGCACTATGGGCAGTCTATCTGAAGTGTACCTGGCGTATAAGACGACCCCCCACTTGGAGGCATATTTTTCAGGGCCAAAAAATCGTCTTATACGCCGGCAAATACGGTAAGCAGAATTTGAAACAATACAGTCTCTTGCAATGCATTAAGGGTGCCAAAGAGTAAACGTGTTCATTGTAGATTTTTAGGTCTTTTTTGCCTTTTGTAATCTTTTTAAAAGTTGGCATTGGATATGTGTTTATCAGAACATTTTATTATCAGGAATATCTATGCATAGTAAAAGCACATAAATAGACAAATATCTTCTAACTAGAGGCCTGGTGCATGAAATTCATGCACGGGTAGGGTACCTAGGCCTGGCTGGCAATCAGGGCCGATCTGGGAGCGACTGGTGGGGTGATTGGGGGTCCCCCACTGGCACCTACCTTGGCTGGCCTGGGGCCTGCAGGCTGGGGGAAGCTCTTGCATTGAGTGTCTGCCCCCTGGTGGTCAGTGCACGTCATAGCAACTGGTTGTCCCACCGGTCATTCCGCTGTTTGGTTGATTTGCATATTAGGCTTTCATTATATAGGATTAGTTTCATATTGGTCTGACTTTGTAAACATATTATCCTATATAACAAACAGGTAATATGCAAATTGACCATCACTCTGTCACACCATCACAAGATGGCTGCACCCACAGTGGAGGCGGGGATTCCTGTAACACAAGATGGCTGGACCCACAGTGGAGGCTGGGTTCCCGTAATGAGCGATCAGCAGGGACCTGAGCCTGCATGGTGCCGGGGCGGGGGACCTGAGGCCGTGCCCCTGGCCAGCGGGTCTTGAAGGGGGACCTCAGGCCACGCCCCCTGTGTGGGTGGGTGGGGACTTGACCCTGGGTCCCCTGGTGTGCCCCAGACTCTGACAGGAGGAAGATTTTCATATACATTTTACTAATTTTCTTTCATCTCTGACACTTCTATTATAGAGAAAGGGCAAATAACAATATTACAATATTTCCTCTAATTAATTCCCTTTTAATGTGCATGAATTTTGTGCACCGGGCCACTAGTATGATATAATAGGAAATGATGCAATAAAATTAGTGCTTCATTTATCTCAGTTTAATTTGTTTAGGAATTGAGAAGATTTAAATATCAGGTAAAGTTGAAGGAGATCAACAATTTACAAGACTCTTTTAACTTTCTAGTCTGTGATTGATTTCCTTATAACTTCTGTTGTGCCTCAGATCTTTGTGGTGGAGTCTCTCTAGCATATTATTATGACTTTAAAATTCTGAATAAAAAATATGGTGAGAAAGAAGACCCTGACTTTGTCTTAACTGTGTCCAACATAAAATGTGTAATATCTTAATTTTTAGTTTTTAAAAAAATAAGTGTTATATGATCTTACAGAGAAAATTGAAAGTGAAACAAAATTAAACAGTTCTTTTTTTTTAATATTTTCAGCTCGATACCTGGTCATTTTTACAAACATTTAATTATTCATTATACCCAATAAGTTTTCCGAGTGAGAATGCAGTGGAGTGGAAAAAGCTCTTTAAACCATGTGCTTCCCAGAGATTGTTCTTGCCAGTAAGTTTTCTCCCCAGTGTTTTGTTTGTTTTTTGACTCTTGCTTTTACACACGAGTTACTGAAGAGTTGCATTTAAATCATTAAACACACACACACAAACACAGTATGACTTTCCCTTTGAACAAAAACAAGGAATGGAAAACATTTCCATAGAATAAGAGCTACAATAAAAACCTCTGTTAAAATGAAAACTGCAAATAATTTATATTGAAACACTATTTCTTGCATTTTAATTTATTCAGTGCTATAAACTTATATCTCTAAGAAGAAATCAAGGTCATCTGTTGCCAGCAGAAATGCAGTGGTAGTATCACCTTCAAGTTGCAGACTTCATTATTATTTGGGAAAAGAAGTAGATTGCATCATTAAGTAACCATTTTTGTCTTATACCAAGTCAGTTTACCTTTTCTAACTAATACTTTAACACAAAGACAATTTAAGGCATGTGAACTCGGGGACATGGGAACCATTTATTCAGTGGGGCTGTTTTTTGGTAATGTTGTCGGGCAATAAACCTTGATTATAATTTTTTTAATCTAAAATATTCAGATTTTAAAAGATTGATGCTTTATTTTTCTAAGTGTTAACCTTTTATTTATTTTTTTTTTTACTGAGTTTCTCTTCCTTTGAAATGGATGAAAAGAACTAATGTAAGCTCTGCCAACTTCTTCCACCAAAAATACTTATGTGGTTATTATTTAACCTTATGTCTGATTTCCAGTTGGCAGTGAACTTGGAGTTTTATGCAGTCTTCCTAGTCTGCAACAATCCAGTAATCTGTAGACGCACATTGTATCGTGGTACAGAAGCAGAATGTTGATATAAAACCAATTGTCCTCATTTTTGTCCCCTCAACAGAGAGACAGACAGACCTACAGACACATGTACACGTACTCTTCTAATTGGGGGCTTTATTCAGGCACTTCGGTCTACCATCATATTTTTTTCAGCCTGATATTAAACCAGCTGGTGGGGGGAATTCAGTGTTTTCAGCCTTCTAGTTGCTCATTAAGGTAATTGCTTAACCTTAGCTCTAGGAGGAGGTAGCATCTTTGAAAAGGAGCAGAATGAAGATCAAGCTCTTATTTTCATTATCTTATCTAAAAATGTTTAGCTTAACCTGATTATTGAGTTTTACTGATACACTGGATAGGCAATAAATTTAAATTTGCAGGAGTCAGATTCTAAAGTTCATGGGTAAGGCAGAAATAAAAAAACAAAAATTGCCTTTGGAACTCCCTGTAGAAGATACATTGGAGATTTAACATCTCTCAGAAAGTAGCAGCATAGCCGATCTGTCTTGCAAGACAAGTTGTGTCTTTACTCTAACTGAGTGCACATTTTCTTTGTTTTGTCGGGGGATAGTAAGCACAGAAATAAGAGCATGAACTTAAGCTAAGTGGTCTGGGTTTCAATTTTGGCTTTACAGTTTCCTAGTTGAGACCAAAATGATGTAAACGTTCCAGCCATTAGTGTTACAGGCCAAGGGAACAAATTCATATCTTTATCTATATTGGTTTATTTCTATATTTATCTCAAGAAATTAAGATTTGAGATAGAAATTCACCTAAATTAATGTTCTTTAATTAAGATTTCTCCCTAATCTCTAAGCATATGCTTTTATTTTATTCTTATTGTTAGAGTGTTTGTTCTGATTCATTTTTATACTGTTTCTTCTCTAAAAGTTAATATAAAGATTAGCATAGTATCTTTAACATGCTGTTGCAAAAAATGACTGATCGAGGAAAAATTGCTCTAAAAGTTCATGTAAATTAGCGTATCTCAAGTACTTCTTTTATGTTTTATACTAAATGAATAGAATTATAGTTAATGATTCAAATATCTCTCCTTATAGTTAATCCTGAAAGAAGTTGACTCACTATTGTATGTCGACACTGATATCCTTTTTTTACGGCCTGTTGATGACATTTGGTCTTTACTCAAGAAATTTAATTCCACACAAATTGCTGCAATGGCACCAGAACATGAAGAGCCTCGAATAGGATGGTATAATCGCTTTGCCAGACATCCATACTATGGAAAAACTGGAGTAAACTCTGGAGTTATGTTGATGAACATGACTAGAATAAGAGGGAAGTATTTCAAGGTAAGTCCCTGATAATAGGTAGTTGGTTATTTTCCCTCTGAAGTGTTTGGTTTCTGATTTAATTTTGCTTTGTTAAAAACTAGATTGAACTATTCAGAATATTTTCATTTGTCTAAAATATTTGAAGAAAGGCGTGTTCTTAGTATTCTGTTTATTAGAGCATTGCTCAAACGAGATGGCATTACAATGAAGTGAACTAATGCACTGTAGCAAACATTACCTTCTTAGGTTGTTACTCCAGGCAGCAGCAGTCATTTTGTAGTTATGTAGCCGTAGAATATTTGAGTTTAAAGTGTGAGACGTCTTGGGGGAACACAGAGTTGCAGTTAAGAGCTTAAGACTCTGGTGCCTGCTTGCTTGGTTCAAACACTAGAACCTTGGGTAAGTTTTGAACATCTATGGGGTTTAGTTTCTTCATCTGTGACATGAGGATGGCAAGGTCACACAGTACCTATGTCATAGGCTTTTGTGAAGATGAAATTAGTTAGAACAGTGGCTAACACATAGTAAGTGTACAGAGTATGTCACCAAGTAAGCACTTAAATGTCAGCTAAAAACAATGACCTCTGTAATACCCATGTAGACTTACTGTTTATCCCTTTACATCTAGTTAGGACAGAAATAAACATTAAGGGATATTAAATCATATCTGATATGAGTATATATGTATGTTTTATACATATATTTGTCAGATCTTTTTCTTATGGCTTCTGGTGGAACAGAATTTACATCATTATTTAATACTCCTTTCATTGTGTCTGATTTAAACCTCCCTCTTACTTTGGGTATAGGCAGCAGTGATGCTTGTAGCCACCCTCCCCCCACATCCTGACATTTCAGTCTTAGGACACACAGTTCATACCCATCATTCTGTAGATCTAGTACATCTAGGTGTTTGTGTTTTTTTTAAATAGAGCTTTTCCATTTTCTGAAATCTTGATTTCATTTTACCTTTGTCTCTCACAATTGAATGAACGAATGAAGCTGGTGTGGCCTGTGTTCTTGCTTAAAAGTGAACATCTTTCTTTAGTTACCCACTTTGTTAATATTTCTTGAGTTTTAAAATTTCACATACCATAAATTTTTCTAAATAAGATGTCAAACTGTGAGTTTTCTTCCTTTTCTATGCATGGTAATATTATACCAGAAGATGGTGCTGTAAGATTATCTGCTAAGGAATAATGTGACTTCTCAGTAACCCTTCACTTGAAATTCACAAAATTATGAGAAAGTTAGTGTTGCAAAGAACCTTAGGGATAATTTAGTGTAACAGTATTACTCAGTTTTTTAAAATTTTCAAAATATAGCTATGTAGCTCAAATCTATGATTATTTTTTACTTATTTAAATGTCATTCTTAAATACTTTAACAGTTTCTCCCATTCTTCTTTTATTTTTGTCTGTGGCATGTTCTAAACCAGCTGGAGATGTAGATACGGAAGTTGAAGTAATTTCTAAACTTTCAAACTTTAGCTTTCTTTTGTGTATTAATGATTATTTAATGAAGAAAAATATGAGAGGCATTGTACATTAATTTAGTAGGTACAGTTTGTTTATACCTTCTGTCTCTATGTTCTAAACAACCCTACTCTTGCTCAGTGAGGACAATACAAATTTGCTTTGTTTTCAGATATTATTACATTTATGATTGCTGGATGCTTCTACAAAATTTATTGAGTCTTTAATTCCTTTTTTATAATCTTCCTTTGTTTTCCAGGTTGCTTTTCAGGCTATATCTGTAGCAAACTTTACTTTGATTTTTCCTGGCACAGGTCTTAAATTTTAGAGCTCTGAATTATTTGTAATAACTTTTCAAACTGTTTCATACAGATCTGTGAATGCTATCCCATAGTTCTTACCTGCATGAAAAGAGAACACTTACTATGAGGTAGACATGGTGGTGGTTTTTACATATTTGAAAGATGTATGTGACTGGGACTGGTGGACCCCATTGTACCAATAAAGAGGATTTTTATTGTAATACACACACACACACACACACACACACACACACACACCAGCCACACACACACACCTCCCCCTTACCCCCTCCACACACACACCTTATGAGAACAGAATATCAATGAACATCTTACCAAAAGGGATAGAACTTTTCAGAGATTTGTGGAATAACTAATTTTGGGGAATTGATGAGTTTCATTTTCTAGCATTGCTGGAATATAATATGAATAGCCACCTGTCAGTTTTATATTATAAGGTAGACTGATAATGGTAATGAGCCTATGTATTTTCAAAAGCATACATAATTCTAAAAGGGAAAGTAATTGATCTTAATAGTACATGTGCATTTTGGTAGTAGTTTTGCTAAATTTAGTAAATTAAAACTATGAGGTTGGTAAAACTAGGTATATAGTTGTTCATATGGAAAATAATATAATTGATAAATAATATTACAAGAATAAGCTGTTTTACATATAACTGTAAACCTACTTTTGCCAACCACTGTATTTTTTAAATTATAAAACTAAACCTTTTTAAAAAAATATATCTTTTTATTGATTTTAAAGAGATAGAAACATCAGTGAGAGCGATCAATCAGTTGCTTCCTGCACACGCCCTACTGGGGATCAAGCCTGCAACCCAGGCATGTACCCTGACCTGGGAATTGAACCGTTACCTCCTGGTTCATGGGTTGATGCTCAACACTGAGCCATGCCGGCTGGGCTAAATCATGTTTATAAAAATGTAAACAATTCATTGTATGTAGAGTAAAAAAACAAGTTCCCCCTTTGCACACCGCTTTCCCCAGTTTCATTTCTTTGCCAAAATGACAAACTTTGCTATGTACCATATTCTTCAGACTTTTAAAAAAATGGAATTTGAAATTGATGTACATGCATATTAACACTTACATGTAGGGTCCTATTGTATATCTTCACTTTGCTTTTTTTGCTTAGTATAGATTAATTGCTTTTTCTCAGTACATGTAGTATGTCACATTTTTAATGTGAGTGTGGTATTGTGGAGAATAAATGATAGGGTTTTATTGAACTTGAAATTATATGGCTGAAAAATATCTCATATTTTAATTTGTGTGGATAAAATCTTATTATAATTTTGAGTCATTTCTTTTTTCTCCTTTGTAATGGCTGTCCATATCCTTGGGCCATTTTTCTAATTCTGTTGACTTGATTTCTCATTGTTTTTTAATTGGTTGTCTTGACTATTCTAGTTATGTCATCAGCAAATTATATTAGTGTTGTTTCTTGTCAAGTATTTTCCTAGTGGGATTTTTAAGTCATAAAGGTTTTTCCCCCTATGATCTTCACTCCCCCTCACTCCCCACCTGCCAAGACTACACTGGGCCTTGTAGTATATCTTCCATTGATTTCTCTTTGAATAGATGTGTGTGTGTGTGTGTGTGTGTGTGTGTGTGTGTGTGTGTGTGTCTGTCTGTCTATATTTGAATAGATTGAACCCAGTGTAGAGTTGAACATGGCCTGGTACAGTGGGCCCACCAGTCCCTGCCTATTGAAGATTTGCTGGTCTTTATCCTCATGCAGTTTATATTTTCTTTTTCAGATCCTAAGACTATTTTGTTAACCTGCTCAGTGACTTATTTCACAATAATTTTTTTCAATAGAATATTTTCTTATTTCCTTAAGTAAAATTAGCTTCGGTCATTTTCCAAATTATTTTGGGAGGGACTTTAGATTCCTTTATTACTGTGATTACTGCATTCTGACAAACTTCACACAAAGGTAAAACAATTTGAGCAGATCATATTTAGTTTAAATGTTTTTTTTTTTGTTTTGTTTTGTTTTTTCCCCAGGAATTCTAGCTTTTCTTTCTCTTTCTTCAAGGATAGATTGTTTATACCTCCACTAAGTTTATATATATCCTAGAATAGCTTACAATGTTTTTCAAACTTTGGAGAAGGATAAAAAAAATTTCTTTTAACTTACAATCTGTCATGCCGGATATTTTTTAAAAATGATGTAAATAAGCCCGGCTGCTGTTGCTCCGTGGTTGAGTGTTGACTCATGAACCAGAAGGTCACGGTTGGATTCCCAATCAGGGCACATGCCTGTGTTGCAGGCTCAATCCCCAGTAGGGGGCATGCAGGAGGCAGCTATCAATGATTCTCATCATTGATGTTTCTATCTCCTTCTCCCTCTTTCTGAAATCAATAAAAACATGTTTTTAAAAAAATTATATAAATAAGTTACTAAAATATAAATTAAATAGATATAATTCTGTTAAATTCTATAAAAGTTTCTAAACCTCACTTTTAATATCTGTACTTAGTCTTATAGAGGTCATAAAAAATTCACTGATTGCATGTTGCAAACTGCACTTTGAGAAATACTGGATTAAGTCTGGAGGGTTTAAGAGAGTCACATACTAATAGGTATAAGAAGCTTACTATTCAACTCCATCCCTTCACATTCCAGATTCTATGGTCCAGAGCCCTTTTTCAAGTCTGTTGTTTCCTCAGGTATTTGACTTCATGTTTTAAAATAATGAGCTATGAGGCTGAAAGGCAACTGATGAAGTTCAGTATCTATTTTTGATAATACCAGTTTTGAATGATCTCTCTGAAATGCCAGTTAAAAAGATTAGCAATCAGTCTAAGAATAGTAGCGATCATGGCAACAATAATAATAGCTAACTGCATGTGTACCATGTGTCAGGTACTGTTTCTGGTTCTTTTAAATTACATAGTAACAGGTTTAATCCTCAACAACTCTATGACATAGACATAGACAGAGTTACTTTGTCTAGACATCTGGCATAGGTACTAAAGTGCTCTGCATTTTAAGGTGAGGTTATAGTCATAGGACTTAAAACATGTCCTGCTTTCCCTTTCCATCTCCTTCCCAGCTTTATTAGTATTCTCAATTCTACATGCTGCTTCAGATAGCTTCTTTTGTTATCTTTCCCGCTCCAGCTGGGCAGCCTTACTGACATTAAGGTTTACGTTGGCATCACTGGGTTTTGTAACAAAAGAAGTTGATATTTCTTCCTGATCTGTAATGATTGCTAAGGGAAGAATGGGGAACTGTTGTCATGTCACCATTTTGAGCCTGGAAGCTTGAGGACCTTTTTACTCTGTTTACCAACAGAATGATATGACAACTGTACGGATGCGATGGGGAGACATACTTATGCCATTGCTCAAGAAATACAAACTGAATATCACGTGGGGTGATCAAGATCTGTTGAATATCATATTTTTTCATAACCCAGGTAACCATTTAATTTCTTTAATCCTTTGCATTTGTAAAAAAAAATTACAGATATTATTTAGTCAAAATGAAATGCATTTATTTGATTTTGGCTTTGTATTAATAATTGTTACTATTTATGTTAAAGACAGAGTAAAGCTTTTCTTGAATATTGATTTAGTAGGAGGAGATCCAAATGCCAACCATATTTTTCACTATTTTAAATTTTATTCTGTAAGGACTAGTTGTAAACTAAAATTTTTGCAAAATGTTAATTCTGTGGCATTAGGATTATTTGCTGAATTGTTTTGTCTTTCTGCACGTAGAAAGCCTTTTTGTTTTTCCCTGTCAATGGAATTATCGGCCAGATCATTGTATATATGGAAGCAATTGCCGAGAAGCAGAGGAAGAAGGAATCTTCATTCTTCATGGGAACAGAGGTGTTTACCATGATGATAAGCAGCCAGCATTCAGAGCTATTTATGAAGCGCTGAGAAATGTAAGCATTTAAAAAATTTTTATGTGGAAATACTTGCAAGCTTATGGAGAACTTGCAAGAATAGTACAAAAAATTTCCATACCCTTTACTGAAGGATATGGATAGGTTGTTAATATTTTACCCCATTTGCTTTATCATCGGTTCTCTTTATACATACATTGTTTGTTTTCTGAATCATTTGAATACATCATGTGCTTTTGTCCCTAAAAACTTACGTGTGTTTTCACTTAGAGCAGTGGTTCTCAACCTTGGCTGCACATTAGAATCACCTGGACATTAGAAATTCTGTTTCTTTCTTACTAATGTTGTGGCCCCACCCCATAACAAAGAAACAGAATTTCCAGAGGATGAGGCCCAGCAATCAGGATTTTAAAAAGATTCCCAGGTGATTCTAACGTGCAGCCAAGGTTGAGAACCATTGACTTAGAACAAGGATATTTTCTTATTACCGACTGACAGGACAGATGTCAAACTCAGGAAATAAAATATTGATAAAATACTTTAATCTACCATCCATGAGCTTTACTCTTCTTTGATCTAGAACAGGTTCTCAATCTTTTTTTGTCTATTATGGCATTGGCATTTTGGGAGGAATAGAGCCCCTTAATTCCTTATATTATTAGAATGTTCTTCATATTGGCTTGCCTGATGTTTCTTTTCTTTATTTTTTAATATATTTTTTATTGATTTCAGAGAGGGAGAGAGATAAACATCAGTGATGAGAGAGAATCATTGATTGGCTGCTTCCTGCATGCCCCCTACTAGGGATGGAGTCCACAACCCG